ATGCTTGCAACACCCAGACCTGCTTTCAAAGGAACTGTGGCCTTGTTTGAAAACAAAACAAAACAAAACAAAACAAAAAAACAAAAAACAATAGCCTAGAAAAATTCTGCCTGGCCGGGCATTGTTGGTGGTGCACGCCTTTAATCCCAGCAATCAGGAGGTAGAGGCAGGAGGATCTCTGTGAGTTCGAGGCCAGGCTTGTCTACAAGAGCTAGTTCCAGGACAGCCTCCAAAGCCACAGAGAAACCCTGTCTCGAAGAAAGGAAGGAAGGAAGGAAGGAAGGAAGGAAGGAAGGAAGGAAGGAAGGAAGGAAGGAAGGAAGGAAGGAAGGAAGGAAGGAAGGAAGGAAGGAAGGAAGGAAGGAAGGAAGGAAGGAAGGAAGGAAGGAAGGAAGGGAAAGAAAGAGAGAAAGAAAGAAAGAAAGAAGAAAAACGCTGCCTGTACAGGAGCAATATTAAGACACGCTGACACGATTTATTTTAGGCTGGTCTAATTTGGGTCGGTCCTGGGGCCTGTGCTCATTTCTGCGAGCCTCTCTCTGGCCGCGTACGTCTTAACCGTGTTTCAGGAGGGACCTAGGCGGCACTGAGATGGATGGGGCTCAGAGTGTGTGTGTGTGTGTGTGTGTGTGTGTGTGTGTGTGTGTGTGTGTGTGTGTGTGTGACTTGAAATCGGAATCGGCTGCTGGTGGGGAACCAGAAAGACTCAGTGCTGGGCACCGTTGCTTGTTGCCCCGCCTGGGGGAATGGAGCGGAATTTCGGAAACAAGTACAGTCGGGCAGTGTAGCTTTGGATGAGAAATGCCCTAGGGCTCCAGCATGATTGCAGCTTGAAATAATGAGAGATGAAAATTCAGTTTGTTTTGACGTTTCCACTGTGATTTTTTTTTCCTGGGGTTAGAAGTTGCCTTGCTTATGTCCCATGATGAAAACATCAGAGATTCAAGACTCAAAAATAACACTGAGTCACATGAACTGTGGTTTCTCATATGGAGGTTGTAGTTACATGGAAGGTGTTGTTTTCAACAGATGTTTTGAAACCTGGATGAGGTGGCGGAGTGGTTAAGGCGATGGTCTGCTAACAAAGGAGAAACCATAGATCAAATGACTTTTATCCACCCAGTCCCTCCTCCAACCGCCCCCAAAAAAAGCCCTTCTGAATTTCCCTGCATTGCTTGTGAAAGACAGTAGGGTGCGCTATTTCATAAAGAAAATGAAGCCTTCCCATTCCTTGGAATGAAGCTAACAGGATTTTTTTTTCTTCTCCTAGAATGTATAGAGTTAACCTGATTGTGTCAACAGGAAATTATCATAGTGAGAAAAAAGTAACAGATTATGTCCGGCATATTCCTGGGCTTCTGAAAAGACCAGATGCTACAGCAGGTTTATTATAGCCTAACCCAGTTAGGTGTTTTGTTACTTTAACTTTAATTTTTAATTTTTTTTATTCTTGAGAATTCCACAACACAGGCACACACACACCACACACATACATATATACACAATGCAATATTACCATATCCACTCCCTACATTTCCCTCGAACTCCCTCTGTATTTCCTTCAACATGACCCCTCTCAATTTCATCTCCTCCTCCTCCTCCTCCTCCTCCTCCTCCTCTCTTTCCCTGTCTCCTCCTCTTCTGCAATCCACTGTGTTCAATTAGTGACATCCATATGGTATCACAAGTTTGTGGAGCCATACTGGACCCTAGTAAAACCATGGTCCCATGCCTCCCAGCAGCTGCAAACTGTCCGTAGCTTTTCCCGGGTAAGGAGTAAGGTCCAGAGAGCTCCTCCTCCTCCCACGCTGGGAGTTTGACGGCTTGATCTTACGCAGGTCTTGTGCAGACAGCCACGGCTGCTGTGCGTCCATGAGGGGGGGCAGCGGCACCGTCACGTCCAGGAGCGTTTCGCAGCATTCCTGCCCTATCCTTCATTCTTTCCGCTCTTTCTGCCAGCTCTTCCACAGTGTTCTCTGGGACTTGGCGTGTGTAGGGGTTGGTGAAGCCATTCAGTCTAGGGCTAAACATCCAGTCTCTTACTCTCAGAGCTTGCGCCCATGATGCGTCTCTGCACTGACCGAGGCTCTCTGCAAAAAGAGGCTTCTAGACCAAGACTGGAAAACGACCTCAGCTTATGGGTACAAATGTAAACATTGAGAGGGCAGTCTTCGAACTCTGCGTTTATAAAGATAACAACGGCTGATTTCATCGCCCCTCCTCTTACAATACCTAGGGAATGAAATCAGCTTGTGTGTCCACCCACAGGTGCATGGATAAGAGAAACGAGGCATGTAAACACGATGAAATAGTACTCAACTGTAAAGAAAAAATGAAATCCCGAGATTTGCATGTAAATGGATGAAACGGGGGGGGAGTATCAGAGTAAGGTGTCTCGGGGGCAGAAAGGCAAATGCCCCATGTTCTCCGCGGAGGTGCTTAACTTGAAGCACGAGTTTCAGAAGCCGGGAAAGGACCTTCAGGAAGGGGGCATGTTAAGGAGAGGGTGCAGTAGATTACGGGCAAAATGAAGGCCGAGAGGCGCGACACCGGGGGATTGGAAGGTTTGAGCATGAAGAAGTACAGGGAAAACCGAGATGTGTGGGTAGAGGGTTAACCAAAAGGAGAGTTCATGAGAAGCCCCAGAGGAACCTGATGTCTCACAACCCAATTAAAATGTCACTGGAGGAAAGGTAGAATGGATTTGACATGAAACGAGAGAGTAGCCCTGGGGTTAAAAGGATTAAGTGGGGTACATGAAAGAGAGGAGGGAGTAGTGGGTTACAAACCCAAAGAAATCTGCATGAAGTTACAGAAACCCAGTATTTAGTGAGCAAGTTTCAAAATGCAACTTCATAAAATAAAGAGTTCAAACAGAATGATCCTGCAGAGGTAGGCAGCACTGCCCCCCAAAAGATGCGGGCTACTAAAGAAAACTCATAATGCGAGTCTTGAGATACTTCCTTAACAAGTCAGACAGGCCCCAAACGCCTCCGAAACCATTTAGGTCCTTGCCACTGCCCTTGGTAACCCACCATAGCCGCGTGGTCCTATTGCTGAAGACAATTGTTTTAGTCACCGTGTGTGAAGAGGCGCTATGACCACAGCAACCCTTACATAAAGGAAGCATGTAATTAGGGCTAGCTTGAGGTCTCAGAGGTTTAGCGCATTATCGTCCTGGTGGGGGCACATGGCGGCAGACACGGTGCAGACACAAGTAGCTGAGGGTTCTGCATCTGCGGGCTTTTGAAACCCCAAAGCTCAAGCTGGTGACACACTTCTCCCAACAAGGCCACATCTACTCCAACAAGGCCACACCCCCTTAATCCTTCTCAGGTAAGGCCACTCCCCTAATGACCCAGCCTCTCCCCTAATGACCCAGCCTTCAGATAACTCGAGTCGACTGAGGCCGTTTTCATCCAAACCACCACCACATTACAATGCATCTGGGGTGCAGGAAACAGAGAAATCAATCTCAGATAAAACCAGGACGCCTCTTCCCTGCTGGATGGCTTCCATAGTCCTGGAAGACGCTATTTAGACTACTGGAGAAAAATGACATCAGTGTTCTTACCCATTACTGGACCATGCATGCGACAATACTGACCAGGTGTGCAAGGTGTGCTCCCTGCTGTAATACTGGCATGCATGATTGCTATGGGGGTAACTAACCACTGTCCGTCGGGGTGTGACGTCAGCTCTCCAGCAGGGAATTTCGTTGTTGGCACTGAAATCCTAGTCAAAAGCCCCATATGTCCTATAGTAGATCCCTTAGCAGATTTTCCACAATGGTCAGCTGAGTGTTTTACAGAGCAAATAGTTTCCCAGCTGAGTATCTAAAGGTATGCTGCCAACTCCTAAGCATGGCTGACTGAGAAAAGAAAAGCAGGCTTTTCATTCCCAGCTATATTTGTTACTTTATTTTCATGACAAACATACCTAGCAGAAGAATCTTAAAGAATAAACAGTTTTGTCACTGTAAAAAAAAAAATCGCACCCTTGGTGAGGGTATAGGTTAACTATGTATTGTGGAAGGTACTTACAAGAGAAACTGGCATCCCAGGTGAGTCAGCAGCTTTCCGAGAACAGACCGGGAAGCCAGAAAGAGAGTGTGCTCCCCTGCACAGACTTTTATGCATCTGTAGCCACGCCCAAAGCGGGCGTGGTCAGTGGCACAGGTATCAAAGATCTCTCCCTACACAGTTTATTTTGGCTGAGTGAATACCATCCGTCATGGCAGGGAAGGCGTAGCAGGGAGGCACATCAATTAAAGGTTGTGACAGCAGGAACATGTCACGTTGTACCACAGTTGCCAGAGGACGTCTGCCCTGTTTTCATCTGGAACATCAAACTAAGCTGGAGCGTTTTTTATTTTTTTCCTCAAGGAAACGCTGACCCTTGAGGAAACCAACGAACTCAAGTCATTTGTGTTCCTCTAGTTGCAGTACGTCCTCCTCGGGGAGGTGGTGCTGGTGGTCTGTGTCTGGAGGCGATGCCAAGCGCTTCAAGAAACAGGGCAGGGGTAGCATCACTTGGCTCTGGGAGGGCAGTGGGGGGAGGACTGCCAAAGCAAGGGACCTCAAGGCTTGTGCATCCTCCAGAGTGGGTCACAAAGTGAGCGGGGCCAGGAAAAAAGCCCCAAGGGTAGAGTGGAAGACAGAGAGAGTTGGCTGCCCAAGTGGGAAACAATGGCTTCTAGTGGAGTTCCTGGAGCACTCAGAGAGGAGAGATGGGAACCAGGGGACTCGGGTCTTGGGATGCTTAGAAGGCGAGGGATCCCAGCCCGATAGTTGTTTATCTCCCGCCCCCCTTCCACGGATGTTCCTCTGAATTCGAGTGTGATGGAAGCTTCGACAGTTGTGGAGTGTGGGCGTAGAATGTGCAGCTCCTTAACTATGCTTCTTAGATTCCCAAGGGCTCTAGCGGGTCAGTGATTCACACAGCTTTTGGAATCTCACAGCGTTCTTTGACTCTGGCACGCAGTTTGGAAGCTGGCTGTGGCTCCGAAGCAGCTATGGCTGCCCCCGGAGTGGCCATTGCATAGCAACAGCCCCTGTGAGATTTCTCAAACGTTAAAACCCTCATCATAACCTGTTTACAAGATTCACTGAAGCATCGCTGTCTTCCTTCGCTCTGAGCAGCTTTCTTGTTTACGCCTGTGTTGCCTGCCTGTCCCATCCCCGAGTGTGATTTTCTTATCTGTAGGGTTAATTGCTCCATTCTCGGAATCTGACATCGAGTCTAGAATCCAAGAAATATTGGTCGAACAAAGGAATTTTTAATGAGAAAAATAACATAAAAGATCCTGTTGTTTACTGGAAGACAAATCTGCCGTATTATCAGGTACAGGGGATGTTCTGCTAGGGTCTTCATCCGTAGTCTCCTTATCATTTCTTTCCTTTTTGTTTTTGCTAAAACTACCTTGGCTTCAAATTCTGTATAGTTGGGTACAGCATTGATCTCATAGGGACTCAGTACCCACAGAGTTATGGGTGGAGCGTTATTTTGAGTATGCCTGAGAAGAAATCTTTGAGAATGATATTAACGTTTGAAAGGAAGGTTGTTTTCTCTAATGCTACTTTCTCTCATCATGGGGTGAGTTGAAGGCCTGGAACAGGAGGAAAAGGCTAACCTTCCCACAAGTAGGGCGCACCTACTCCTGCCTCGATGTTTCTGGACTGAGACACGTACCGTCAGCTCTCTTGGTATTTGGGTATTTGGACTTAACACTTCTAAGGAATTCTATTGATTCTCCTCCATGGCTTGGCTTCTGTGATCATGAAAATCTGTTCCCCGTCGTCAGTCGGTCTGTATATCCACCTGTTGGCAGCATTTCTCTGGAGAACTCCAGTACAAATGTCTCACCTCAGAGAAGAAAGCTCTCTGTAAGGTGTGTCTAGTCCCATCCACTGTGTGGTCCTAGACTACCTGTCCTAGAGTGAGGCTCTCCGAGCTTCCACTCAGCAGGTTCGCTCTGTGCAGATGTGACACATGCTGTAGTAGGTTCTCCAACAACCACCTGATGACTGTTACACACACATGCTGGAGCCATGAGCCTCTCCTCCGCCAGTTTCTATCATCTTCCCCAAGCCTTGCCCATCAAGTCCCGTTGGATGTCTCTCCCTAGGTGTACTTTTTGTTCACATGTTCCCATCCCTATGTTACTCTAAACAGGAGGATTGTCTCAATTTAACAAGTAGTATAATGTCCCGAAAGCTGGGGACAGGCGTGGCTCTTGTTCGGGATCCCTCGTTGACTTATCAGTAGAGTTCAAATATAAATGCACTAGGGGGTTTCCTCTAGTGTAATTGCTGATGACTCTGCGTTCTAATTAAATCTTACTGCTCTTGGTGTGTGGTAGCCTTTGCCCACTGAACATCTGGACTAAAAGTGGGGAACTCGCTTTGGTGATTGGCAACTGCAGAGTGGGGTGGGTTTTCTCACTTCAGTCCAGCCCTAGTCTACCACCCTGGCAAGACTATGTGACTCCACCCCGTTTATCTGGGCAGAAACTTGTGTTGCTGACTCCGCCTCGTTTGGCTGAACAGAAAACTCTCGCATTGCTGCCATGACTAGGCAGTGCACAGGGACGATCATAGCTTTTCACACCCCAGCTTTACCCAGGGGATACAAATGAGTTCCAGCGAGAGTGGGGCAGCCTCAGTCATCTTCTTCTGAGCCTTCTATGCGAGCAGCTCCTCTCTAAGGTCTTCTGCTCCTAACCCCTTTGTTCATCACTTCTTGGTTCTGGGTTGCTATGAGTTAAATGCTTCCTCTGATTCATCTCATGACCATTTTATTTGATTTGGTGAATAACCTAGGAGATCGGAAAAAAAAAACAGGCTCGTGTGGTACCAATATGCATTGTGTAACACATTGGTGGCATTATTTTATTAACTATTTCATCAGTAATTGCTCACTCTTGCTTTGGCACAGTATTTTTTTTCCACCATCTAGATTTTTTTGTGATTAAAAAAAAACTACAGAGTTCATTCCTTCATTCAACAGGCATTCGCTGTGTGTTTGCCTTGCGTTTTACAGTTTTCTTGCGTTGGGGAAACAGCAGTGAGCACACAGGTTTCATCAGCCAATTTCTTGAGTATTTCATTCTAATGAGGGCAGGGCAGATAACAAAAGGAAGCACATAGTATGTCAAGTAGGTAAGCACATGATCAGTGAACAGCTGTAATTTTTAACAGTTTATCCAGGGAAGACTGAAAAGACAGAATTTGAACAAATGCCCACAGCAAGCGAAAAGTGATTGTATGGATTTTTTTGGGAGGGCGGGGTGGGGAGGGGGGGAGTCCTGTAGAAGGAAAAGTCTCTTAAGAAGAAATGTCAAAGCTGACAAAAATCACAAGAATGGAATGGATGGGCGGTGGAATAGGAACATTCGACATAAAGAAGATAAGGAGAAGTGCACTGAGTTCAGATGGTCCCCTCCGGTCTCCCAGAACTCAACAAAGCCATTGTATTTGTGGTTATACTTTATCGTAACTATAGGAGATTAAAATTAGCATGGGGAAAAGGTGTACAGGCACAGTGCTTCGAACTTCTCTTTCCTGGCAGTGCTGTGGGTAGCACTTATTCCTCTCTGCAGCAATGCCTGTGACATTCACGGAGGACTCCCAACCAATGCAGCTCACTTAAACTGTTGTGCTCCAGAACAGTTTATTTTTATTGGCGTTTTGCACTGTAGACACAACAGCTACCTGTGTGGCTGACTTTAGTTTCTGTCCTTCGTACAGGGTGTAGTCCAGGGTTCCCATCACAACTCAACACAGATCTTAGTCATTACAACACAGCACAGGGCTTCAGGTGCATAGATGCACTTTTAGAGGGCAGGGCATCCTAAGGCTTAGAGGTTTAACTTGCAGGAGTTGAGGGCAAGGAGCCAGATCTTTCTTTGGGCAGTTAATCACTTATTCTGTGTGAGTCAGACTGAAGGGATTTTTTAGGTTATTTTGAAGACTTTATCTTCTATTCTGAGTGCAATGGGAGCATCTGTGAGTACCGATCATGGGAGTAACTGACTCGAGCTATTTTTAACAGGTTTATCTAAATGTTAAGATGTGGAGTAGGGCTGAGAGACAGTCTGGGTACATTAGTTACTTTCCTGTGGCCGCAATAAGATTCCATGTGCAAAAGCAACTTAAGGAAGAGGTCTTTGTAGCTTCTAATTCCTGAGGGTGAGAGTCCATAATGATGGGAAGGCGTGGCACCCGGCACCCAAAGCAGAAAGCTGAAAGACAGACCCCCAGCTTCACACCGGAAACACATACAAAGAGGAAGCAGGTGCTGGGGTGAGGGTATAAGACTGCAAGGTTCACCCCTGTGCTGTGCTTCTTTTCATCAAGGCTCCGCCTCGTAAAGGTCCCACAGTCCCCCCAAACAGCCACACTAACCTGGGACCAAGTGTCAAATACATGAGTCTAAGGGGGACTTTTTTTTTTTTTTACTTAAGCTACAACACCAAGGAATAGCATCTCGGGCCAGGGTGGGAACGGTAAGAAGTATCTGGATCCTGGCTCTATTTTAAGAGTTGCCAAGAGGATTTGCAAATAAACTGAATGATTTGGAGGTTCTCAGGTGGACAACAGGGAAAGTCAAGTGTCTTACATTGAAAGACACAGGTCTGGAGGGAGGAACTGTGGGAGCTGTTTCTAGACATGGTCACTTACAAAGCCTGTTCACCAGCGCAGGGAAATGTCAAACAGAAAATTCCTGGGCTAGAGATTTATATCCAGGTTAAGGCATAAGTGTTGAAGCTATTCTCCTGTGAGGATGTGGAGCCATGGGATAAGCAAAAAGGGATGGGAAGAGAAAGAGGGAATGTTCTCCCGTGCTGAGAAACCAGGAGGATAAAACAGGAGCAGATTAGGCATATACGGGAGGAAGCAGGACAGGAAGCAAGGAACCAGAGTGTGGAGTTAAGATACCTTCCAAACAATGCAGGAGGGAGAGGCTACTCTGTCGTGGTGTCTGGTGAGTCAAGGAAGATGAGTAGTGAGGAGACCATTGGGTATAGGAGCACAGAGTCATTTTTTAATAAGAGCACAGATCAGAGTCATATACATATACATACACATACACATATGCACATTCTCACCTACATACACATACATATATTGCATACACATATGCACATACTCACATACATACACATACATATATATGCATACACATATGCACATACATACATACACATACATATATTGCATACACATATGCACATACTCACACATACATATATATGCATACACATGCATGTACTCACATACACATATACATACACACATACAGAGATATACACAAACATACATATACATGCACATACATACATATGCATAAACATACATATGCACATACTCACATACATAGGCATGCATATACATACACATACATATACACACAGAGAGACAACCTCCCTAGGACAAGGAAAGACCAATCTATGTAAGCAGTGGCAACTTAAAAGTAAATTCTGACTACCATCCATTCCCCGGCATCTCTGACCTTCCTTCTACCTGAGAACATGCAGAAAGAACGTTGTAGCTGGACACTTAAATCAACCCAGCCCCTGACCAAAATTAAGAAGGACAGTTTTCTTATATGTCATATAATTTTTATAACATAGGAGTAATCTGCTTGCCTCACAAAGCAATTTTTTTCTGCTTCTCTCCAGAGAGAAGGAAGGCATGGCGTGTGGCCTTGTTTTGTTTCGTTTGGGATGCAGTGGTCTCTCAGTTTGGCATCTGGTTGGTAGTCTCTACTATGGGTTTCTTCTTCTAAGTTACAAACTCTAATTTACATTGTTTGGAATGCATTTATATGTATGAAGTGTTCAATATCAATCAAATCTCCTGGATTAGCCCATATAGTACTTCTGAAATCAAAACACATATAAATTACACCTATGAATGGATAAAGTTAAATTTTTACGCAGGAAAAAAAGACTTTTACACAGAAAATAGAATGAAAGAAAACCAAATATTAGATAAATGGATTTGCCACCTTTCTGTTCTCAGTAGCCAAATTACTTTAATGATAGAAATAATGATTGCAATTAAAATAAATAAGTTCAACATCAATGCCATTACATTCTAAGAACTCAAGATATAAGTGCATATAAGGTTTCTGTGGAAACTTTGGGAGCCCCATGTTGGATGTCATGTGCTACCAGGGGAAACTATTTTGGAATTCTTCATCTCATTAATAAAATAACTTAAAGCCAACTCCCCGAGTCTTCTCAAGGGTGTTTGTCATTCGGTAGTATTTATTATGGATAGAAGGGCTGAGACAGTTTCACAAATAGCAGATGAAACCCTGGGCATTCCAGGCACAGCAGTGACAATAGCATAGGAAAGCAGACCAAGAGTTCCAGAGATTCAACAGCAGCTGAGGGCTCCAAAACCCACCGCTTAGCGCTCTAACACGAACAGGAGGCAGAGAGTTCCAGAGAGCCATGAGAAGCTAAAGGCCACAATACCCGAAGCTCTAAATTATAACATTAGAAGGCAGCTGTAGAGTTCTAGAGAAAAAAATATCAAGGTTAGAGTCTTCAAGGCGCTAGGACCACAAAAGATGGACAGATAGCACATGGAGAAAGCATAAAGGCCCAGAAGCAACGACTGGTAAATAAGAGGCTTTTAGGAGCTGAAAGCAGGAGCCGAGACTATAAGGACAGCAAATCCCAGTTACAGGAAGAGCTCAAAAGAACTGCTAAGGTCTAAAGAGCCACGGTCTCGTACCCGGGCTCCCGAGCTCTAACTAGGTGCTGGATTTCGGCACTCTAAACCCACAGCAAGAAGCCCAGAGCACATGCACTCAACAGGCTTCCAAAGTTTGGAGCCATGGGCTTCTCGATCAAGGACCATCCGTGAGCCTTTGCAGGTGATGGCGCTAAGGGTGCTGAAAGAGATACCTACTATGCGGGTCTGTTGATTTCCATCTGCAGAGAGCACAAAAATGAACGCCCGGCCACTTTTGGCAATCACACTGTTTGCTTCCGGGGTGGGGGTGGGGATGCTCGCTCTGCAAGCACGCTCTCCCTTTCTATTCGTTCCTTGGATTCGGCTGGGTATCTCACTCTATCTGAACCGCGGAGCACATGCTGTTGCCGGGAGCTGACAGCCATGAATGAGGGCCGCAGCTGCTCTTGAGTTTCCCAGATTGCTGACAGACAGAGAACACCAGAGTGTTCTCATTTGGAGGAGAGAGGAGCCGATCATGGTGGGGGGCAATCTATATTTGCCAACCCCATTTCCTCATGACCAAGTATGGAGAGGCAGATGTGGAGTGAACTCACAGCTATAAAGAGAGTCTAGCTGGTGGCCTGTCACCTGGAAGTTGGTAAAGGCGCTGATTGCCCTTCAAGGGTCGTGCGCCTTCCTCAGCTCCCATCGCCGCGGTTTGGATCTGGTTCTCGGCTCTTCGTGTGTGTGTGTGTGTGTGTGTGTGTGTGTGTGTGTGTGTGTGTGTGTGTAGATATTTCCTTTTATTAGGTAATTTCCCACGTGGCTTTCTCTACTTAATCACGCCACTGAAATATGCAGAAATCTGATCTCATTTTAACCAAAAGTAAAAAGGAAAATATTGACTTTAAAAGATATTTAATTTGCCACAGAAAGCAATGCATTTTTAATGTAGAGCACATTAAAAACTCATAAAGCGGTTTATTTATAAGGTGGCTAGCCCGTATCTCCAATAAATAGAGTTAGGCCTGTCAATTACTCGGTAAAGGAAGCTAATCCAAATGCCGTTTTCATCCTGTATCTAGTCAAGGTGATGCTCCCCTCACACACATTCTCTGTAGTCAAGAGTTTGAGGGGATACCAGACACATGGAGAAACTTCCTCCCCTGAGTTTACAAATGAGTTTTCTGAGGCCGGAAGAGGCTTAGACTGCAGCCTAGCCTAGCGGTCACACGGATGGCTTGCTAAGTTCCTGCCAAGAGTTTGCACCAAGGTTTTGGATCAATGGTTTGTTCTTTGCAAAAAAAAATGTTCAAATAAACAAAGATGTACTGAGTACCAGCTGCGTCTGGGCAGCATCGCCGAGCTCTCAGTGAAGGACATGAGGGCACCTTCTCCAAAGACACTCCGAGAGCAGTCCCTAGGGGGAGCTCAGGAGCGTGGAACTACAGCTCTCTACCCATCAGCATCCTCCTCCCCTCCCCCTTCCTCCTGGCTTCCCTTCGAGGATGCCCAGTGGTGGGCTTTCTCCTGTCCAGGCCTGCAGAGGCCCCCTTGTGAGGGAAGTGCTGGAAGGTGAGTTTAAGGAGCCAGCAAGTCTCTTGAAATGTTTCAGAAGCTGATTTTGAGCCGTCGAAGGACTCACAGGCGAGAAATGAGGAGATCAAGCTGACTTCCTGAAAAGATACCACCGAAGGACTTGTGCAGAGAAAATGCATCTTCCTAGTCTAGGCGAGAAGACACAGAGTCATCAGCACAGGGAAGCAGAGGTAGATATCCGGGCCAAAGGAGTGGGGGCGCTCTCTGCTACAACTTTGGTCATTGACTTCTGACTTCCATTCCCACACGTGCATCCATAGATCGACGGGGGGGGGGGAGGGGTAGGCATGGATCTAATTAGGCACGGAAGAGGAGGCGTGCCTCAGAGGCGGCATCATGAATCAAGCAGAAGGGCCATGCTGCTCAGCAGCTGCAGTCACTTTGGCTCTCAACGGTCTCTAAAGTATTTCCATAGACGCCCTTGAATCACGCTCGTTCCCATTCATACGAAAGGAAATTTCAGATTGGCAGAGAAAGAGAACGAGCCCATGAGCCATCGGAGTCGTTTCTTCCTTTTCCTGACTTCAAAGCAACTCCTTTAAGGTCTGTATTCCTGAGGCAATTCTTTCGGCATCAGCTCAATTTGGTAACTCAGAGCAAACCTCCAAGGTAGAACCTTTAGGTAACAAAGGCTTCATATGACGCTTGCTAGTGGCTGTGCTTCCTCAGGCGTTGAGGTTCCACAACCTCAACCTGAGAGTGTGTCCCAGGTCTGTGGGTCCACCATCATCACCATCTCTTACCTCTCCACCTCTACTCTTCCAATCCCCCCCAACACACACACTCTTAACTTCCCTTCAAAAAAAAAACCTTGGCCTATTTGTGTTTGCTGCTCCACAATGGTTTTGGGAACCCTTTTTATTTAGAACGAAAATGAAAGATGAAGTAAGTTGTGCACACTCACACCCCATCTCCCACTCAGCCCAACCCCAGAAGACTGCATCAGGAAAGAATGTGTGACCCTGCCCCCCAGGCTCTGCACACACTTGAGGTCGGCTCCCATCACCGGCTGTCTTCCTCGCCCACGTAACCCTGTGCCATGGTAAGTTTAGATCTCAGAGCAACTCATTTTTTTCTTTGTATTTTCTTTTTGGATTTAAACAGCCATAGACACACTTTGGACACGTGTTTTATTCTAGCCACATATCAATTCTGCGTAACCTGTCGGGCGAGCCCACATAAGCAAGGCGGTGAGTGTGACACTTTTCATAAAGTGGTTGATCGTTGACTTAATTAGCCTCAAGGTATGCACCTCAGCCACGTTTAAGTGAGTGAAGAATTATTTACTGACAAGGTATCTCAACCTTGTCTATAAAAATAGCATAAGCTTTACCGTCTATATTTAAGAAGCTATCCATAGGAGTAGTTTTGGATTCTTCGGTGTAGATATGGAGATGTTCTAAGAATTCACAAGATCACAGAATATCGAGAATACTGTAATGAGGGTGTCCGACGGCCAGTGTTTACCACTAACCTTTGAAAAACTTACGGCTGAAGTGGTTTCATCATTTGAAATCACTTGGTAGCTTTCTAAACATTGCCCCAGGCCAAGCTGAATGGAAAGAATTACTATGAATTACTTTTAACAGTGAAATCAGAGGAAAAGGCAACACTTCCATCATGGCTGCCTATTTCTGCCAACAGATCTGTTGATTGTTCAGCCAGCTATCTTGTTTAATAGACACGAATCAGAAAACCAAGGAAAATCATCCTATGAAGTCATCAGCTGTGGAATGCAGAGAATTCGGTGGCTCTGAAATCAACAACTAATCGAAAAAGGAGTTATAACAAAATAGTTCAGAAATACTGCACGTAATGTTTATTTTTAGCTTGTGCAGTAGTATTTTAAAAATACTACTCACAGTGGATTTCAAGGCAGGTGCTTGGAACTTGTGGCTTGTAAAGTTAATTATCCTGAAACTAAGTTAACGTTGTCGCTTCCTCGCAAGCAGCAGCTAAGTTTCAAGTGTCTGTGTGAGTCCAGTGTCTAAGTGACGGCAGGGAACATGTAAACTCTGTCTATCACCACTAGAACCCTGATCTTTAAAACACAGGCAAGCAGCGCAGGCTCAGAACCTTTAAGGTGGCCTGTGCTTTCATGAGATTTTTTACAGGTTTTCATGTGAACAATGTCACCTTTAAAAAAAAAAAGCAAGTTCCTTATCTTGAATCAGAAGTGGGACCTTTAGATGTGTCAACTAATGTGAGCCTTGTGGTAAAGGTGTAGGAGCCCTTGGTCTAAAAGTTAATGCCTGGGGGTTGAACTGATCTAGTGACTGGTAAACAAAACTGTTAAGGAAAAGATTTTGACGCATATTGTTTCTGCACATCCAGCTATGACTCAAGCCATGAGGAGCATCATTTTGTCCTAGTGATTGAATCCCCACAGTAGGCACATCCTTGATACCAGCTTAATTTCTTGATTAGGGAAGGCAACACTATTTGTGCTGGCTTATTCCCCGCCATAACATCCGGTAGTGTGTAGAATCTTTGGGTAAGAAGCCCTTCTAATTCGGCTTTCATCTTGCTAATTCATGGTATTTTGCAGCAGTGGCAAACTTAGTACAGAATTATCAGTTGAGGCGCCAGATGTTGTACGCATGCCACAGCTCAAAGACTCACTCAGTGCGCTGCACGTGGCCTTGGCGATCTGCAAGGTGATTCGCTGCTTGTTCCCCAGTCTTCCGCCCCGAGTCACAGAGTGCTGACAAGCACTAATGCGCAAAGTCGACGCTAGGCACCCAGCCTGCAAAGTCTCGCATATTTATCCTTTTTAGCTTTAACTGATTCTCAACCCTGGGTTGCAGGGACCGTTGACTTTCAGAACCAATTACCTAAATAAAGTGAATGAATTTGGAAAGTCTGAAGAATGGCTTGCCACCCCGTCTCTGCTTCTTGATAGTGTGTTCAATCGTTTGATAGTTCCGATGTGACTGGACAAATGAAGCAGGAAAAGGAAGATGAGTATCCTGGAAGACAAGAGAGCAATGCCTAGAACGGCCTCATCAGTCTTTAGATCCTTCCGTACAAAAACAGGGGAAGACCCAATGCGACAAACGAGGCAGCGCTCTTGAGAAGAACCGATCCTTCCCCGCAGTGTCGCACTGGCTCTGCTCTACCCTGCGGGCCTCTGTGGCGAGTTACCTGTGTACATGATGATTCTCTTTTACTGCCTTGAAGATGCCCGGAGGAAACAGACCTTATTCTTATTCTCTTTGCGTTTCTGGCAAGTAGTATGGGACTTGGTATATGAACTGTTTATTTGCCCAGCAGAAGAAAAGTACATGTAATAGAAAAGAAAGACCTATAGAGGAGCTCTACTGTTCCTTCACAGAGAAAAATGTTACCCTGAGTCTGCCAGCTACTCTTGTCACGTCTGTCATTATAAACAACTGAACGGAGGACAGGTTTGCTTTACTTTGGTTCACACTTAGAAGTACAGTCCATCAGTGTAGAAAACCCAAGGCTGCATCCTGTCCCAGTGAGTAAACAGAGAGAGAGATAAAACCAGCACTTTGCTTGGTTTTTTTTCTTCTTCTTCTTCTTCTTAAACTCAGCCCCAGATTCCAGCTATGGAGCCTTGTTGACGCTTTAGCATGGGGTTTCCCATCTCAATTAACAGCCTAGAAATTTAGTCACAGATATACCCAAAGGTTTGTCTCCTAAGTGAGCCTAGATCTGTCAAGTTGACAATATTAATTTTCACACAAGTCTTTGGTGGGTTGAGTGTTTTCTGTAGCCAAACTGAGAAAGACATTCACTGTGGATTTTTTTAAAAAGCACTTGACAGTTTCGTATATGTGTCTACTGAGTTTATGTCCCAAAAACCATGATCTTCATCATGCAGTGCCAAGTAATAGTTTTTTTAAAAAGACTATTTCCTTGTGGGGAGAGCCTGGAGGTTTGGCTTAGCTATTAAGAGGACGCACTGCTTTTTCAGGGGACCCATGTTTCAGTTTCTAGCACAGGAACCCACATGGTGTGTCACAATCCCCAACTTGATTTCCAGGGGACCTGACTCTTCTAAATTCTGCTGGCACCAGGGCACACACATGGTGCGAACAGATACGTGTATGCAAACATCCATACACAGAATAAAGGAAAAACATTTAAAATTTTAGAAGACTATTTCTAGTGAAAAAATTTACACATTTTATACCACCAGATTTTTAAGATATTTTTGTTTTGTCTACGATATCTCTTAAGCTAGCCAAAACAGAGGATGAATCTCACCTACTTTCCAAATAGCAATAGATGTTTTATACAAGGACATCAACAGAACAAAAACATCATTATGAAAAGTGGTGTGTTTGCTTAAAACAACCAGCTTTATAACCGAAAGAAACATGTCAGTAGCTATCAATGTTAGCTGTAGCCTTTTTTTTAAAAAAAAAACAGACTATAGAGCTTTGTGCTGTAAAGTAATGTGGTGACTAACAGTCACAAAGAGACGAGGAAACTGTGGCTTAGTACTAGTATTTCTGTGGTTATAATTGAGTTGCTTGGGGCCTGATCTCTTAGGATCTCTTTTTCACACCAATTAAATGAAAGAATGCATCGTTTACTTTAGTGTTGCTATTCCTTTATAAAAATACCTGATCTAAATCACTTGCTGAGGAAATATTTATTTTAGCTCACAAGTTTAAAGGGTTTAGCCCATGGTCCTTTGGCTTCATTTCTGGGCGTTTGTGGAGGAAGCACTTCATGCCCGTGGAAGTATATGGTTGAGGCTTCTCGTCTCACGATGAGATCCGGAAGTAGAGAACAGGAAAGGTAACGGGGACTATGCGCAACCCCCAATAACTTGCTTCCTGACAAAGTAATTAATTGTGATGCTCCGATTTGCTTTATATAATAGAAGCCTTTTATAACAACAGGGAACGATTTTAAGTCCAACACGCCACAAATTATGATGTATGTGCCTCTTCGAGAAGAAGCTGGCGGGAAGCCTAGCTGAGGATGTGTAAGAGAAAGGGTGGCTGTCCCTGCACTGTATGGATTTTCTCTCTTTAGCTGTTTTTTTCCTCATAGAATATTTGGGTATTTCCATCTGGTCTTTTCTCCCAGCCTCTGTCCAAAGCTCCTTTTAAGTTTAATTTGTTGGTCCATTGCTTTTCCTGAGAGGACATTCTTTCTCCAGGAGCCTAAAACTGTCCATCCTGACATCTTGTCTCTGGTTTCCTGCTTTTTGGTATTATTAGGTCCAAGCACAATATGTTTCCTGATCAGCTGAATGGTTCTCCAAACGGGGCGATGTCCTGTTGTCTAGGGGTGGGCTGGAGAAAACCTAGTCTTCCAGAACACTTCTGGGTTACAGCTCAAAGTTTACTCTAGGCTTTTCTGTGCTTTTACCAATTATGCTGTGTTTACTTTGTGAGACACAGAAGGAAAAACTTATAGTTGATTAAGCCGTAAGTGCCTAGAACCACTTTTGTCAAATAGAAGCATCAGGTCATAGTCGCATGCTCTTACACATTAGTTCCCATTTGTATAATTTAGACCTATGACACCCTTTCCAGGTATCGCAGTCATAACCATGGACTCTTACAAGAGCAATTGTTCTCTGTTCCCTTTTTATAAACAGCATTGAATAATAACTTTCTCAAGAATCTGAATGCGCATAACTTCATTTTAAATGCAAAGTTATCCCCAATGGTCTTTTGGCCACGGATGAGCTATCACTGACTATAAAGTACAATTCTTGAGAGAATTTCCTTGAGCGAAATTGATATAGCAAGAAGGAAAGAGATTTGTGCTTTTCATTTAGTAGCAATATTTATTTTAAGAAAATTTTGCATCACTAGGATGAATAAAGAGCAAGAATGTGAAATATGTTTTCCCTGAAGACAGTTCTTCATGTCTGCATAACGTTCTCTGCTAATAAACCAACCTAGGAGAGTTGGATGTGTGTATGCTCTAGCGTCTCGAGGCTATTTCAAAGGCTCTCCATTTTCCCTATGCGCACAGACAGCTGGGAATATGTTTTGAAATCAATGACCAAAATGTCCAACCTAAATGACAGATTCCAATCTGTAAACCACGGAAACAGGATCTTTGTAAATCCTCACTCTGACAGGGAATTTTCCCATGATGTGAGAAGTCATTTAAAAATGTATGTTTTAGGCAAGGAGAGCTTTTCTAAGTCACTTTGTCATTTCCCAAACATATATTTAACTTTGATACTGTGAACTGGATGTTCTACTTCTTGGTACATAATTTTTATACACACACACCAACAACAACAGCAGCAGCAAAGGAATTCTAGGAAAGATCCATGACCTAGGAACAAGGTGAGCATGTGATGTCCAATGTGTTCCCACACAGCCTGGAAAATTCCTTGGTATCTGAGCTCATCCGAAGGTGTGGATATTATGACAAACACTAAATCCCTCTGGTGGAGAATGATGAGGACAGCAGAATTCCACAACGGATTTTCTTCTTTATTGCCCTGTTACTTAACTCAAACACAAATTCTCATCCTCTCCCTCCCTGCCTCCCTGCCTCCCTCCCTCCCTCCCTCCCTCCCTTCCATTCTTTCCATCTTCTTTCTTTTTCTTTCTCTCTCCCTCCCTTCCTCCTCTCTTTCTTTCTTTTTCTTTCTTTCTTTGGTTTTGTAAGACAGGGTTTCTCTGTGTAGCCCTGGCTGTCCTAGAATTTGCTCTGGAGACCAGGCTGCCCTCTATCTCAGGGATCTGCCTGCCTCTACCTACCAAGGGCTGGGACTAAAGGTGTATGCCACCAACTACTGGGTAGAAGAAACACAATTTCTTAAATGGGGATCTAATATGACCACACAGTTGATTGCTTATTTTTAGGTCTGTGGTCAGTAGAAAGTGGTCACTAAGGTAACCAATTCCAAGAAACCTGGACAGTTACTGTGAAGTCATTCAGGAGACAAGATGGCGGGATAAGAACCTTAGGCTCAAAGATAATAGATAGTGGGAAACCCTTTCGGCAACTTCAGAGGTTGGCAATACTCTGGAAACCTGGATTTTATGAGGTTGGATGGAACAGCAGAGAGCACTTGATGGATCTTCAGCTAGAGAAGTTCTCTAATCTACAACATAGAAGCATGAAGTCTGCCATTTTAGGGCAGGTTATTTGAAAAACAGGTTGGTGTGTTTTGAGTCATTGGTGGGCCTTTAACACTTTGTTTGCTTCTAGGGTTAGATTCAAAGGTACCATCAAAAGGACCTGACTAATGCTTGTCTAAGGCTTTCACCGGAGACAAAGACCCTGACAAAAACAAAGAAACAGATTTGAATGCCTGATGTGTCATCCACTACTGTGAAGTTCAAGACCCTGCCACCAAAATCTGTTCTGTAGAAAGGGACTCGATAGTTTCTCAGGAAATATCTACCATGGCTTCTTCAGACTTCATCCTTGGTTGCTGTGGGGATGCAGCTGACCTGTCATCAGGTTGTTCAGTGGGCTAGCCAAAGCACTTCTGAGGTTTGAGAATGAGTGATGAGTAATGTAGTAAGGAAATGCAGTGAAGAGAACTGCGAGGAAAGTAGGAAATCACTGTGACTTGTTAATTTTAAGTGCTTGTTAATATTAGCTGATTAATTTGAAATGTTTAATAGAGTAGAAATGGGCAATCTGTTGTCTCAGAGATATGAATGATTGCCATCAAAGTGGTCAATGAGAAAGAAAATGGCATACTTTGGAGTTACTTCCAACTCTATCGATTGTTTTTGAGACTCTGAGCCAAACCTTGTGGATTTCTATAGCAACCTCACCCCCCTCCTCCCATCTTGAGATAAAGAAGTCTTAAGTTCTTTTCCAGTATCCACAATCTGTGTAACTCAAAAAGACAAGAAGTTGGCATGTGGTACTTAATTTTATATGGCAACTTGACAGGATCATAACTTAGATATGTCATTAGACATTACCTTGGGTTTGTCTAAGAAGGCGTTTCCAGTGAGACATTTGAATTGGTGGACTGAAAATAGATTGCCCTTTGTAGTATGGCAGCCCCTCATTCAATCACTCAAGAGCCTTAGACGAGCAAACAGAGAAATTCACTTTCTCTGCAAGACAGCTCATCAGGAACGCTGTTCTGCCCTAGGGCCAGGATTCATGCCATGGATTCTCCTGGTCTCCGGGCCTTGAACTTAGACTAGAACCACGTTATGAACGTTCCTGGGCCTCTAGCTTGGAGAAGACAGGTCACAGTACTTCTCAGGCTCCACAGTCAGATGAGCCAGAGAAATGACTTATTCTCTCCCTCCACCTCCTCTCCTTGCACAACTTTGACTAATACATTATGCATTTGTGAACAAAGGCATTGCTCAAGTCTAGTCCCCCTGTCTCCAACTTTACAGAACATAATTTTAGGAGCTAAGCTCTCCGTATTTCTCTCTTTGTTCCTTTCAAGTAATAATTGATTTTTTTTAGTGGTTTGTTCCTGGGTAGGATTTAGAAACATTATGCAGCTGGCAATGACTTCATGCAGGGCTTGTGAGGAGGAGCTACTTTTAGCAGCCAGATTCTCGGTGTGAGTTCAGCAGGAGGAACTCTTCAGCTGCATGGAGAGTGGACAGAGGTTAGCAGGATCTCTGAAACCCAACAGCATAGAGGTCTCTGAACAGAGAGTGGCCAGCTTCGTTACCCATAAGAGAGAGAGATGCAGACCTTCGCTTGGCACCCTAAACATTCCAGTGTGTAGGGGAAAGTATCAAGAGGAAATCAACAGCCCACACACCGCCATATTCTTCTGCAGGTGTGTTTGTTATGAGTGGCTAACCACCTCCTTGATGGAAAAGTGGCTGAGCCCCAGAAAGGAAGGGCTGGTGGGTCTGATATCTGTAAACATGATTGCTGCCACTGGCTTCTTGGTCTCACAGAAGCCCAGCCAGAGCAGAAGGCATAAAGCCACACACGCAGGCACACAAATCAGCACCGGGAAGGCCTGCAGCTGAATGGCCACGATGGAGCATCTACTGTGGGCTTTCTGTCGTTTAGCGGTGTGTGCCTTTTTCCAGATAAAAAGCTGTTCAGTTCAAGTCTGCAAGGAAAACCTCCCGCCCATCACGGGGTTCTGCGCCTCTTGTGCAACTTGTCTAATTAAGTACATGCGGGTTTTGACAGAAGGCGGCATGGGGATGAGTGTGTTGTCAGTCACACAGCCAGTCATGAGGTTTTGCGTCTGTCCAGGTGGGCTTAAACTTCCAGCCTGCAGGACCATCACTGAAGGACAGCAGAGGAATCCTTGGGGATCCCAAGCTCACATGCCTCCTGGTCTTATCCAACCACCTTCCTCCATGGCTCTGTTTAGTGTTTCTCAGTGATGTCTTTGCTCCCAGGCCCCGTTGTATCTGCTCGGTCCTACACAGCGCTTTAGAAACAATATGATTACTTGATCGTGTGATGGCTTTATTGCGTGTGTGATGCTCTTCCTCTGGGAGTGACATTTGAGTGGCATAAAATCCATAGCCACTAAGAGATTTCAGGAAATGCTGGGGCGGGGGGGAGGCCGTTGTTAGGAAGTGCTTATGGACAGGACAGGCTCTTACTGCACCTCTAAAACCACAGTACTCGAGAGTTGTTACTTTCGGTCACAGTCAGTCTTGCCTCACTATGCCCAGGTGCCCCTCAGGATTATGTGGGAAATAATGTAAGTCTGAACTTATGGTTTAAAAATTCTTAAGCTGATAGATTTTTTTAAGAGTTGGTAAGAAGCAACGGGTCCTCTTGATAGTCAAACGTTCATAATGCGCACATATCCAAATTCTTCCTATAGTTTCAAGAAGGGTCACTAGGCTTCCAAGATCTCCAGCTGGACTTCTGGGGTCAGAGAGAGTTTGACGTTTGGAATAAGGAAAGCTTTACTCAAGCTTTCTCTCTTAATGTAGGGCAAATTCCTTGCACTTCTGTGAAACTGTGTTCATGCTCTCTGTTAGTAGCTCTCAACTAGGGATAGAACTGAAGGAACATATCATTCTGCACACTAATCTAAAACAATTGGTACACATAAGCAGTCGTAGGAACAGGAGGGTGTGTCTCCGAAGATTCTTCCCAGGCAAGTGGACACGCCCAATAAGTTTTGGAAGTCTAAGGCAACTGCTTGTTCCATTTTTCCTTCACCTTGAGGTTTTACTGCCAGTTTGGTACCACAGACCAGAGGGAACGTGAAGGCGGGCTTTCAATGAGTCCACAAGACCCAAGACAAATGGTAGACAGGTATTTATTAGGGAAGCACTTACACAATTGATAGTAAATAAACCTCCGTGGTCTTCCTGCTCCTGGAGAGGCAGCCTCTGCCCTCCTGATGCTCTGACCACAGCCCACGAGAGTGAGCCAGTCACATCCGTACATCTGAAGCCACGCCCCCGAGGATGTGGCCACCGCTGCAAGTTCACTGGTGAAGAAGCAGGATGCTGCTCCGAGAATATTCTCTCAAGTGCCGGGGAAGAACATCTCAGCTCTTTCCTTCCTGCCGCGCAATCTCAGTGCGAAAAGGTAACAGGAAGAATCTCCGTTACTTTTCTATTGCTGTGAAAAAAAAAAAAAACCACTACGACGAAGGCAACTTCTGGAAGGAAGGCTTATTTCGGGCTCGTGGCTCCAGAAAGATAAGGGTCCCACCACCACCACCACGGCTGGGAACTGCTGAGTAAGCACCACGCATGGTGGCAGGAGCAGTGCAGAGCTCGCCCCGTGCAAAGCACAAACAGGAAGCAGAGAGTGAACTGGGAAATGGCACGCGGCTTTTGAAATCCCAAAGTCCATCTCCAATGACACACTTCCTCCAGCAAAGCCACACCTTCTAACCCTGCCTAAGCAGGATTGCCCATTGGGGACCCACCAGTCAAATGTCCCAAGCTTATGGGGGGCGGCATCTCATTCAAACCACCAGAGGAAGGGAGGAGAGCCCCCTTTTTTCTCCACTGCACATCGGGTTTTGGGGAAGACTTGTCTGTTCAGTCTTGGGGACTATCCGATTTAACTCAGTGGGCACAGGAGGCATACCGTAGGCGCAGAATTAATGTCTTCCCTAGGTAAATTTGCGACTCACAGCTGTTTGCAGTGGTGCACACCTGTAGTCCCAGCACTCTGGAGGACACCCAGACAGGAAGTTGAAATGTTCAAGTTTGAGGCCAGCTTAGACTGGTCAACAAGATCCTGTCTCAAAACAAACCAAAAAAAAAAAAAAATCTGTGCTTCATACTGTTTTTTAAACTAATATTATGATGGCCTACCTCTTTCCCAGATCAGATGAGAGTCCTCAACATGATAAGGTTTCACTCTACAGATGCCATTGAGACGCAAAGAATATTTACTAGGCTTTTATTTATGTGTGACACAGTGGTGGATATTTTAGAATAGTGTGTCTAGTCCACTATGTGCTAATATCGGGAAGTACGCCAAAAGTATTATTAATGGAAAAATGATGCTCCCAGCTTGCTTTTCCATTTCAGAAAATGGGGGGGCATATTGTTTATAAAATAAAATAGAAAATATTCTTCTTTGTTCCCTGGTTTAGGTCCAGTCACCTGGAGTTTTGTTTTTTTGTTTTTGTTTTTGCCTAGTTTCTCTTATCCATAGGAAGGGCCCTGCTGTGTGTGTGTGTGTGTGTGTGTGTGTGTGTGTGTGTGTGTGTGTGTGTGGTTTGGGTTGGGTGAGCAAACCATCTCTAGCCCCACCAGTAGCCACGTGTCCCACAGATAGCCAATGGCTAGCAGCTCACTCTTCTCTTCCACAGCCACACAAAGTCACTCTAACACGGAGTTCCGGCTGCTTGGTTAGGACGGTAACCCCAGGCGACCAAGGTACAAGGTGCCGAGGTTCAAAACTATCTTTATTCACAAGATTGCTTGGCTTCACATACTGGAATCCCTTTAGAAACTTTGTCATTTTGGGCAAGAGAAAAATCTCCTTCTCACTTACGGAGGGAGCTGTGCTTTTGATGCGCCTCTTCCCCGATGAAGGTCATATCAAAGTGATGTCAGTATTAGACATGTTCCAGGCAGCGGACTCCGGATTGGGCACTTTCCATAATGATTCATGTATGTGGCGCACTCACCATGTCGGGCACTGGAGTGATTTGCACAGCTGCCTTCTTCGCTGGGAACTGCTCGCGTCACCCGTCGCCTTCTACAGATGAGGAAACTGAGGCTCAGAGGGATTAAGTAACTGTCAGAGCCACGTGGTTGATAAGTGCTGGGAAGCTGAGCTTCCAAACCAGGCTCTCATCTTAGTTCCAAGTCAGTCCTCACCGAAGCCCTCTAATGTAATCACCGGCATTTCCAGTTTGCAGATAAGGGAACGAAAGCAGGGAGGTGAATACTCTGATAATAGCCATAGCTAGTGAACAGCAGAGCCAGACGAGGGTCCAGAGGGGCCTGACACAGCCAGTGTTTACTGCACTTGGACTTACATGCTTCGGGGTTATGATAAGGAGGGCGCTCACGTGTCTAACCTTTTTGAAGTGCGTGCATTTGTTTTGGTTTGCCCGATAGGATGTTAGTTTGGACTGTCAGTCTCTGTGCACGAGGAGGGAACAGAAAAGCCCACTGCTGGATTTACCTGGGCTGCTGTCTCCTGAGGTGGCTGGGACATAAAGTCTCTGACAGACTGAACAGATTAACCCCTTGATAGATTTATAATGTGATAGCGTCGGGAAGTGGGAAAAGATAAGATGTGAGGCTTTTGAACGCCTGACATTTATTACACAGTGGTAAATATGGGGATTGGTAAAGGATAACATGGGGTCAGTGCAGAAGCAGAGGCATCACATAAGAAATCAAATAAGAAAATAAGAAGATTATGATGCGAG